AACTATGCTCAGGCACGGTTCTGGATAGTCCACGCGTATACAGAACAGTGCTTTTCCAGAACTATGCTCATGCACGGTTCTGGATAGTCAAGGTGTAGCCAGAACCGTGCTTTATCCAGAACTATGCTCAGGCACGGTTCTGGATAGTCCACGCGTATATAGAACAGTGCTTTCCCAGAACTATGATCTGACGAGGTCCTGGATACTCCACGCGTATATCCAGCACCGTGCCTGGGGCAACTCTACGTTCTTGGATAGATCTGAGACTATCCAGAACCGTGCCTAATCCTAACCCTAACCCAGGCAGGCATAGAACTAGATAGGCACGATTCTGAGTACAATAGAGACTATCCAGAAACGTGCCTGATCCTAACCCTAACCATTCAGGGTTAGGATCAGGCCATTAACTGTTATAGGCACGGTTCTGGGTACAACAATCCATTTGTATTTGTCCCAGGTTGTTATATCTGAGGCCGGTTACGTGCACGGTGACCTGGCGGCCCGGAACGTGCTGGTAGGAGAGGACCTGGTGGTGAAGATCGCAGACTTCGGGCTGGCCACAGACGTCTACGAGCGAGGCTACCAGCGGCAGGACGCGGAGCAGAAGATCCCGGTGAGGTGGATGGCGCCGGAGAGGCTGCTGCGGGAGGGAAGGTACACCAGCAAGAGCGACGTGTGAGTACCTGGGTTTAACATAACATACAAACAACTAAAGTCCCTGTCACACATGCAGGAACTTTAGTCCACGACTTTGCTCGGTTGGGACGCCCTGTTCAACGCCTCTCGTGAAAAAAAATATAGCGCTAATAAGGGTCCCATTGCAAACCACAAACTTCTAAATCCGGCTCATATGGATAGAAGCAAAAGAAATCCACATAGGTACAAGTTGCCATTGAATAGACATAACTCGATTCTGAACCAAACGGTCGTGGGTTCGAATCCTGTCCTAGCCGTCAATGTTCTGGAATACTAATGAGAGTTACAGTCCTGTGGGAGAGACGCTAGACTCTTGCAAAGAGTTATCAACCAAGAATTGATGTGCTGCTTGCTGCCACCAAGCACAGTAGGGGCGCCATCACTAGAAAGCTTTAAACAACTCCTGCAATCAAATGTGCAAAGATTGAGTGTAACAATTAAGTCGTTCGGTGTGATATAGCTAGCTGCCGCCACGCCGCATGCCTGCGAAGCTGGTGTGTTACGCCGAAGGGCGGTTATACCGGTCATACAGATACAGAAGCTGGTGTGTTACGCCGAAGGGCGGTTATACCGGCTATACAGATACAGAAGCTGGTGTGTTACGCCGAAGGGTGGTTATACCGGCTATACAGATACAGAAGCTGGTGTGTTACGCCGAAGGGTGGTTATACCGGCTATACTAATACAGATAGCTCTCATCTCTCAAGTAGATGTAAGAACATTAATATTTGTTTGTTTGTTTGTTAATGTTGTGTTATGCTTTGACGGTGTCAACAAATACATATTCCACCGCCACAGCTGGTCGTTCGGCGTGGTGCTGTACGAGATCGCGACGCTAGGGGACGTTCCTTACCCGACTCTTGGCGCCAACCTGCTGGAGGAGCTGCGCGGGGGACGACGGGAGCAGCGGCCGCAGGGCTGCCCATGGGAACTGTACGTACAAACTCTCGTGTAATGTTACAGTAGGTAATAAAAAAGAGAGCAGGCTACTATGCTCCATTAGCTTTCCAATATCATTGGCCAATAAATGACTCGCAGCACCCAGCCCATAGAGTTCTTTCAACAAAATTATGCAAAATTATGAGGTAGCGATGGACATGAATATTACGAGCCACATCAATGTTTGTACTAGGGCTGCGGACCGGTACACTGTACCGGTCCAATACCGTAAAAATCGTTTCGGTACAGGTCCAAAATACCGGATCATGAAGTAACGAGTATATACCGAAATAGCTAGTTTACACCATGTATATGACTAAAGATAGGTAAATCCTACCACAAAGACGAAAAATTAGCACTGGAAAAGACACCGTCGATTGATTTGAGATCCTCAGTCTCACGAGACATCACGAGACTGTGGCTAATCCAGGGTTGTGATTGGTCAACAAACTCAAATCAGGTCAGAGGTCAGTCATTTTCCCTTCCCTCCATATTGGCGGCCTTTGTTGCTTTTGTGTTGTGTCTGTATTTTGCCGCGTCAAATTGTTCAGGTACAGGTACAGGTCCGGACCTGTACCTAAACCTCTGTACCAGTACCTGTACCTGTACCTGATGTTACGTTTAGGTACGCAGCCCTAGTTTGTACACATATATGTACAATTAAAACTGCTTGTAGGTAAAAGGAAAACAGACCTGAAGGGCACATGGGCTTGAACAAAGTGTCATAAAGTTTAAAGGGAATTCGATCGTGCAGCCTCAGCGTCTTTTCTTGAGATTTTGTCTTTCCATTACCTACAACTAAAACTGCTGCTTCCTCATCAACATTGTATAAGTCATGGCAAAGGGTTATACTTCAATTATAACGTTTGAATGTGTTGACTACCGGCAGGTACAACATGATGCTAAGTTGTTGGCAGTGGGACGAGTTCAGCCGCCCGGGGTTCCCTCAGCTGTACCTGGAGCTGGACCGTCTGGTGGAGGCAAACGCCGACGTCAGCTACCTTAAACTCTCCTCAGCCGCTTCCTCAGACGATGAGAAGAGTTCCGGCATCTTCACAGGCAGCCCCGCGTCTTCCGAGCACAGCCTAGACGGGTCCAGCACCTCGGAAACGTCTCAAGTATGTCTTTTTTTTATATATTCCAACATGTACTCACAAGACGTGGTGACGGCACACTCAAGTGTTTTTCAACTTATATTAATGCCGCCATCAACACAGGGGGCAATACAATACTCATTTTCGTCTGATCAAGGGTGTATAATGTCCTTGGTCTGATTTAAATTAAGAAAGTCGTGCCTTTCCCAAGGGCACAAGATCGGTGGCATGTCAGGACTCGAACTCGGGATCCCTTGGTTCCGAGTCGAGCACTCTGCAGCTACGCTACACGACCCCTTTTGGACTTCCACTTATTTGAATATCAATCAATAGTTTGTGCTAAATTAAACCTGCATTTCTCCTCTGGTCTCTCAGTCGCTGAAGAAAGCTAGTGGATGCTAGCTGAAACGTCTGACCGTTTCCAAAACCATATCCAGTTGCTTGAGTAACTGCTTTTTGGCGTATCGTGTTACCTGGATGTCTAACCTTCATAGACACTCAAGTGTCTATTAGGATCTCCATTAGTGTGAAAGGTGTGGTGGGGTCTTTAACGTGTGTGGGGTGTGGCTCTCCCCAAACACAGGACCTCCATTTAACATCCTGTCCGAGGGATGTCCGAGGTACTGATTTTCACCTGATTAAAGTGAGGAAAGTTTTATTTTATTTTATTTTATTTTATTTTATTCACATGGATTTTTGAGCATTGGATAGGAAGCACTTGTTGTGCTTATGTAAATCCGCTGCTCATAAAACATAATACAAATGTAAACATAAAGATGACATAAAGTATAGCATTAACATAAAATGAAAGTGGCTGGCGCACCAATACCTAGCATAACATTATTGAGATTGGTCAAATCTTCCAGAGTGGTGGATATAGTTAAACACAATATCAAAGATACGGCAGTTGGTAGGGTAGGGGAGGCTGGGGCTACCTGTAAGAAGTAAAGTACATAATGTGGCGTCATTTACGTTGAGTGGGTCGGAAGGGAGTATGTTTTCAAGATGAAGGCAAGATATGGATAACAACATTTTGGTCCTTTCAGTATTATAACATTTGCAGTGTAATAAATAGTGTTCTGGTGTCTCATTTGGATGCCCACATTTGCACTCGGGACTACTGATACAGTGATGCTGGAATAGGTGGTAGTTCAGCTGGCTGAAACCAAGCCTGAGTCTGGTAAGGTGAGTCACATGGTGTCCGTGGCCGTGAGAGTAGTGGGGATGTCTGGGCATGCTATCAAAGCAAGACTCTAATTCATTTTTGAATGCACGAATGGATGGGGATTCTTTGGCGGTCTGGGGTAACTTGTTCCGAGAGGAAACAGCAGAAGGCAAGAAAGATTTTTTGTACTTTTCAGTTCTGATGGTAAGAGGGAGATAATTCTGGTCAGTACGCAGGCCATAAGGGGTGGAATCACGGATAAGTGGGGGAACCAAGTCTTGTAGATATTTGGGAACTAAGCCATTGGCCATTTTATAAAAGTGAACAAGTATGAACTTTTCGCGTCTGTTGGCAAGTGTTTCCCAACCGACGTCACATAGAATGCGGTGGTGATTCGTCCCTCTCATTGCGCCTGTGCAAGCCCGGGCAGCGGACACCTGGACTGACTCAAGGAGGTCTGAATCCTTCATAAGAACACCACACCAGGCAACATTGGCGTACTCAAGTAAAGGACGTATCATGGCTTTGTACAAGATTTCAAGCGTTTTCCGTGGCACAAAATTTGATATTCTTGTCAACAAGTTAACTCGCTTCATTGCTTTCGTCACCAGAGTTGACACGTGGAGTGACCATGATAAATTTGGGGTGAGATGTAAGCCAAGGTGCTGGTGAGAGGGGGTTTCAGTCAGCTGTACACCTCTAAAGTATAGTGGTGGGTGAAGAACCTTTCTTCTTTTAGAGGAAAAAGTCATCAGTTCTGTTTTGCCGGGATTGAATGTTACAAGCCACTGGTCGGACCAGTCTGACACTACACTGAGATCATGATTCAGTCTGTTCGCTGAGACAACGGGATCCATGATTATCTCTAACAGTGCGGTGTCATCAGCAAAAAGACGGGAATCTGTTCGTAGGTTGTCAACAAGGTCATTTATAAAAACAAGAAAGAGCAATGGGCCGAGAAGTGACCCTTGTGGAACACCTGCATCAATTGATAGCCATTCAGAGCACATCCCGTTTATAACAACCCGCTGTTTACGATCGCTCAGGTAGGATTCAATCCATAATAAGAGAGACCCAGTAACTCCTAGTTGTCGCAACTTAAAGATTAATCCCCCATGCCAAACCTTATCGAAAGCTTTAGATATGTCAAGAAAAACTGCACGGGTTTCGAGGCCTTGGTCAAGTGCTTGATGAATTTTGTGGACTAAATAGGTCAATGAATTAACGGTGGAATCTCCCAAGGCGAACCCGGCATTACGGTCAGTGAGAAGCTTGTTTCTGTGGAAGTATGAGGACAGTTGATTATGGACTATTCTTTCAAAGACCTTTGACACACAGCATAGGAGGGATATGGGTCTGTAGTTTTCCTTGATCTGCTTGTCTCCTTTCTTGTGCACGGGCACAACATTCGAACATTTCCAAATTTTTGGAAAATGTCCGTACTGTAGTGAAACGTTAAACAATGATGATAGAGGGGCGGCTAGTGACTGGGCAACATTTTTTAAGAGTCTATTTCCTAGGCCGTCGGGTCCTGTGGCCTTGTTAACATTAATATCGCACAAAACTTTGTAAACATCAAGGGGAGAGCAGACGATTGAGTCAATAACAGACTCTGTTCTAAGAGTAAACAAGGGAAGAGAGGCGCCCAATGTGTTGAGTTGCGTTTGAGATGCAAAGTAGCGATTGAAGACATTAGCCTTGGTCTTGTCGTCCGTAACAGTACATCCGTTTTCGAGTAAAGGTGGTAACGTGCGATCAATCTTACCCATGAAAATTTCTTTGGAAACAGACCACCAGTGTTTAGGATTAGAGGATGTATTTACTAAACCAAGACAGAGGCTAAGCCGGTGGTTGTACTTCGCTTTCCTGATTAGTTTTGTACACATATTACGGATAGTTTTATAGGAGTTGAAGTGATCAGGGTTTTTGGTACTTATGAATTTACGGTACAATCGCCTCTTTTTCCTTAACATACGTCTTATTTCACACGTCATCCATGGTTGATCTCGAGGGCGTACGGTAACTTCTTTGCTGGGGACAAACAGACTGATTGTTCTTGAAAGGGTTTCCATGAATGTTTCGGTTGCAATATCTATGTTAGGAATACTCTCTGAAATGATAGAGCCCCAGTCAATGTCAGAAAGTTTGGAATTCAGTCCATCGTAATCTGCTTTGCCAAAGTCAAATACAGTACGTTTGTAAGCTGCAATACGAGGGACTTTAAGGACCATTTTTCCATAGGTAAGTGAATGGTCACAATTTGACAAAGGCGGGTTCGTCCCTCAATCCGAGAACAAACTGGGTGAGTCTGTAATTAAGACATCAAGCAAGGATGACGTGGTGTCAGTTATGCGGGTGGGCTCTGAAATCAGCTGTGCGAAGTTGTTGTCGGATATAAATCTATTGATCATGCTAGCGGCGTTGTCTGAATTTGCATTCATATCGCCAAGCAGAATAATAGCCGTTTTCTCAGGTGGGCCACTGGCCATAATTAGGTCAACTGATTGTTGCAGGTGTTCCATGAGTAAGGTACGTTCTTCCGCATTCTGGCCTGGTGGTCTATAACAACAACAAACAAAAACTTTCAAACTACCGACATCCACCTCACACCAGATTACTTCAGACTCGTCCCTTTCCAGATCGATTCTCCGTTTACATGGTACAGAATTAGAAACATACAGTGCGACCCCTCCACCATGGCGATTCCTGTCTCGACGCATTGGAATTTGGTACGAGGACAGAGATATGTCTGAATCCGGGATGGTAGAGTCGCACCATGTCTCGGAGAGAGCAATAACATCGTACTCCTCCTCAATAGCAATAGTCTCAAGTTCATGAATTTTTGATATAATCATTGGCGGGAAGACTTCTCACGTTTGCATGACAGAGAGACAAGAATTTCCTGTTATTTATGGACTTTGGTTTTACTAGGGTAAGGCTGAACATGTCTCTCTGTCAGGCATGCGTGGGTAGTTTTAACTAAGTATTGTTTGGTGCGCCAGTTGAAGTATACAAAATCAAAAACAATAACAATCATAATGTCACAATAAAGAAAATATAAAGACAAAAGGTATAACAAAACATAAAGCAACAAAACATGATCGCAACACCGGGGGAACATAGTAGGCTCTCAACACACCGCGGAAGCAGTAATGTAATCAGACAATAGAGCCAATAGAATCGATCGGTGTGACTTTAATCATGTTTACAAGTTCAAGGAGGCAAGTCAATGGGCAAGAATGGGAAATTAGATGCATGTATACGAAGTCATTTCATTACAGTCGAGCAACATCAGTCTGACGTGTTCTCAAATAGACGAACGTCATGTTCGGAGTTAAACCGGCGTGTTTCAGGGGTGCCGCCGTCACGGGTGACCTTGGCAAAGATCTTACCATCCCTGGTCCACGCGTTACTCACTTGCGGTAGTCTCCTGACAGCATTGAGTAGCTCCTGGTTGCGTTTTGTCAGGTTTTCCCTGATGACAAAAGGCTTGTTCATGGCATTTCTTTTCCCCTTGAGCTGTTTCTTCGCCATGTAGACTTGACTGCGTTTGGCGTAGTTTGCAAACTTCACGATGATAGGCTGCGTTCCATCCCTTGGTCTACCAATTCGATGGGCAATGTCGATGTCGGAGGGCTGCAAGTCAACATCTAGGTGCTCCTTGCTGAAGTTGATAAAAGTATCAGTACACTTCTCTGGCTTCCCCAGAGCAAAGTGAGGAAAGTTGTATGAAGGGCCTTTCCCAAGGGCACAAGATCGGTGACAGGGTGGGGTTCGAACCCCGGACTTCTTGCTTCCGAGCCGAACACGCTACCGCTACGCCACACATCCCCAATAATACAAATGCATCTATACCATTTTATTAATTAAAATCACTTTCTTAATTCGTTCGCAGGAAACGTCTCAAAAATCACCAAAAACGTCCCAAGCATCACACGATCTTGAAGAAAGTAGCACTGAGAGTCTTCGACCTGTTGAAGATGTCAGGCGGTTCACTGAAGCGAATGCTGCCGCCGTTGGTAAAGCAGAAGGTTCTGGACCAGATCGGCACCAGGTTCTGACCAGCGACCGCGTTTCCTACAAGTTTCCAAACCGGAAGAACAAATCTCGAGAAAACAGTCGGGACAGCTCTAGATCTGACTCCTCGGCTGCTGAGATCCGGTTTGCTGATCCTCGGCGATCGGGGAGATCCCGGGAAGATCGTGCCAAGATCGGGGTGGATTCCTACGTTTACTACAAGGTTCCGCCCAAACACAGCCACAGAAAACAGCGGCAGGGAAGCGGGAAGGTCGTGGACGAAGAGCAGATAGAAGTGGTGGATTTAGACTCTATTGAGTCGGAAGCACTATACTTTTAAATCCGGGATGCCTTAACTGCTGCTGTTGTCGCTCCCCCAGCATGAACTGTCCTAAAGCTAGAGTCACACAAGTGACAGGCTTCGGCCACACATATGTAGTCATTAGCTTGATTAAATCGCTTTACGGTTGCCTGCCCACCAACATCCAGCCGGCCCCCGAAATGCGGGGAGGGGAAATTAAAGCCGCGGACGGCAGAGTTTGCGTTACACAGACTATGTACATGTATTCCTTGATCGCTGGACAGGCGGCAGAATTTGCCCCGTAGATTCGAGCGTATTTTTCGCCGGAAAACCTATCACATCGACTTCAGAGCTCAGTGACCGGCAAACATCGAACGAACCGAGCGGGTTACGTGCTCACGGCGTATAACTGTCGAAAGTGTGAACTGCATTATGTTTACATTGTATATTTGAGCTCTGTATATGGGCAGGACGGACGTTAAGCCGAGATCCACTGTTCATTGTGTTTGTCGAAAATAGCTAGATGGTACATGTACAGTGAAACTTTATATACTGTACACAGCGTCTGTGTTATCTGTCACGACCAGTGGAGGAAATAGCTCAACTGTTTCTTGAGTTAACTTCACGATCACTTCCACATAGTTACTACAGGACCACAGGAAGAATAGCTGGAGTGTTAATGCATTGCAGCGAATTGTAGATCTAGATGAATTTAAAGTCATATACAGAAATATACAGTCATATACAGCATATATGCAAAGTCTTTTTCAAATTTCTGACAAATTGTTTATTTCATCAACTGCAAGTCAAAAGACCGCAGTTAAGATGACAACAAATAATACAAATGCATCTACTATTTTATAAAATTACTTTCATAATTTATTCTTTAAAAGATTTTGGGCAGTAAATGGCTATCAAAATAGTAACAAAATTAGTTTATTGTGGAAAAAGCACCCCTTTGTATCTATTTATATTATATAAGTTTTGACGTTTCACTGTGTATCATTCCTGCATATATCATAAATTATCTTTATTGAATAAAACTGACTTTAATCCTGATTTGCTTTGTGATTTTTACCTTAATTTCTGAGCAATACATTTCTGAAATATCATTCTTTAAAACTGCAATTTTAGACACCATTTTTACGATTTCTTTAGTTTATACAATAAAAATTAGCTGCAAGAAATCATTAATTTTCGATCAATTTTTCCACACTTCAAAATGCTTTCTCTTTTCGACTTCAGCCTCCCCCTAAGCAATGTTAAAATGCTTCGCCACCATGTTACAATCCCAGCATCACCTTGTCAGCCTTCAAATTTCGGTTACTTTGCTTAAACCCCAGGCCTATGGCTCTTCCCTGCTCTAAGTTTCTGAGGAAAACCTTGTGCAACAGTTAAGTGTGATACTCTGTGGCTTATACAAACGGTGACGTTCCGTTCCAGTTCACTACTGCATCTGGCCATCTGTGGGGATGGAAAAAAGACATTTATAATTTGATATCAATTTATTCATTTTTAAGGCAAATAAACAACATTTTCCTTAACACAAGAGGCAGCTGTATCCAGAATCATGCTCAGGCATACTTATAGATAACCCACACTATCCAGAACTGGGCAAATCTATGCAGAGACCATCCAGAACCATGCTTTATCCTAACACTGATCAATATTCAGGCATAGAGCTAGATGGGCACAGTTCTGGGTATAATAAGGTTGTTTTGAATAATGCGTTTGAAAATAATTTGATTTTCTCTTCTACAAACATCCACTGCAGGCAAGGTTTAGGAAAAACTGTGTCAAAGCATAACCTCCAAGATGAAGGTTACAAATACCCAGTACCTAACGTTACAATTTGTATGAACAGAAATGCATGAATAGTTTCATCAGGTTGGTAAGACACTGAGTAAAGAGACTCTTTTTACACAAGCAAGTCTTTTATTCAGCTGACATTTTGGTGATCGTCTGTCACCTTCCTCAGGGCAATTCCCACCGACACCTGTGTTGCAGTGCAATGTGAACCAGTCAGAATTGCCCTGAGGAAGGTGACAGACGGTCACCTAAACGTCGGCTGAATAAAAGACTTGGTTGTGTAAAAAGAGTCTCCTTACTCAACAACAGAAATGGTTTTTAAGATGTCTTAGACCACAGAAGTCTTACTTCGTGAGGATGCAGCGCTCGAGAGAAGGAATCTTCTGCTCCTCCTCCTCACCTCCTGGGTCTGCCCTGCCGCTCCGGTTATCTGGGGAAGACGGAGACATTAATGACAAATAAGTGATGACATGGAAATCTTGTGGTTAGTGTTGTTGATTCCGAATCTAGAGGTTCTGGGTTTGAATCCCTAGCTGACTCCAATGCTGTGCTCCTGAGAAAGGCTAGGAATGTCCTTTTGAAATGGACGTAAAGCTGAGGTCTCATGCTTGAGGAGAGCCACACCTTGTGCCTGTTAAAGAACACACCAGAGTTATCGATAAGAGCAGGATTACCAGAAAGATTCAACCTTTTCTTAAATATCAAACCTATGGCTAGTTTTAAGACCTACTAGCTAAAAACAAACCATTCTATTTCAGAGGGTGTATGTGGGTTACTAACTCCATTTTACCTATGGTGAGCTAATCTGATAGTGCCTTGAAACTGGCTTAAGATAATCTATTCAGTTTTCCTTGGGTACCCAAAAGATTCACACATTATAAAGTTAAAATACCTATGGTTAGCTTAGTCCCCTGTATCTGTGTAGTCTGTATGTAAGTGTTATACCTACAGTGAGTTTGGTTCCCTTTATCTGTGTAGTCTACATGTGAGTGTTACCTATAGTGGTGTTAAGTGTTACCTATGGTCAGCTTGGTCCCCTGTATCTGTGTAGTCTGTATGTAAGTGTTATACCTATAGTGAGTTTGGTTCCCTGTATCTGTGTAGTCTGTATGTGAGTGTTACCTATAGTTGTGTTAAGTGTTACCTATTGTGAGCTTGGTCCCCTGTATCTGTGTAGTCTGCCCCGTGAAGTAGAACAGACAGAAGCGATGCTCCTTGCGCCAGTGAGACAGCAGGTCGGGAACGGTGCAGAACAGAACTCCGAACACGTCGTTCACACTCGTCAGCCAGATGGGCAGTTTGGGTGTCTTCAGCATGCTTCCAACCTGCACAGGGGGGGAAAAGGATATTTCATTTTACCTCAAGGCCACATTCTGATGACCCCCAAACTAGTGTGTGCCATGCAGTGAATGAAAAAAAATTCCAGCAATAAGATAATGCTGCTAGGCAAACCACAGGAATACAAGCTAGTATTGTGAATTTGCGGTCAGGCTTTTAGCTAGGGGGTGTCCAGGGTGTCTTTTGGACGCCCTGTACTGAAAATACTAAGAAATTGGACGCCCTACTTTTTGGTAGGACACCCTAAAGACTCCCTATTTTTTCCACTCCCAACCCCTGCCATGCACACATGCCTCCCTTCAGCCTTACTATAAATACAAAAATAATGGTTTACTGAAGGAAAAAACTGAAAATCCTCAAAATTTGCACCTCAAAATGCAAAAAGTAGTGCTTGAGAGCATTGTGGATTTTAAAAAAGCCCCCCAAAAGCCCTCGCACTGCACATCTTTGCTGCGCATAGCATACAATAAAAAAAAATGGACACCCAACAAAAAAATTCCAGCTAAAAGCCTGTTTGCGGTAGTACGTAGCAACGACAAGCCGGGGCATGTTGGCCTATTGCGGCATTTATGAGTCGGTAAATAAATGAATAAATACATAAATATGAGTTGGCACTGTAGTTGTGTTCTTGAGTTCCGTGGAGCGTCGGCAGCCTTGGTGCCTCAGGCCAGAGCCTCGGAGGACATTTTTTTTGAAAACAGGCAAAAATCAATGCATGTGCAGATGCCATCCATAAGATTAAATCAGTGTGGCCTAAATACTTAGTATTTATTCAGGGACCACCTCTGGCACTGAGGCATATTTCAAAGTGCTCTGCAGGAATACATAGATAAAACATAAGCTGTGCATCATATGGCATCAACTGCTATACAAGAACAAATGTGGACAGTACACAATTATCAATAATGTTCCAAAATAACTCCCCCCCTAAAGACTGCACACAAGTAAGACAGTTTTAGTCTGTACTAATTTATGTTTTGTCCATAGGTTTTTTCCCCACAATGGTCTGAGACTCTCACCTCAGTTCTGTCTTGCACCTCGAACTCTGTCTTGTCCCAGAAAAGAAATCCCAGTTCTGCTCTCTCCTTCTGTCCAAGTAGAGGGTAGGGCTGAGAGGAAACATACAAATTCAGTACTTGCAAAATATGATACAGAAAGAAGAGGTTGTGCAGAACAACAGAAGTTAAACTACAAATTCAGCACTTGCAGAAAATGACATAAAAAGATGGGGGCATGCTGTAATGACATGGCAAAGGATCATGATAGCAATGCTTCAACCTAAAATTCTTCATCACTCTCACATAGTAATATGTTGAACTTAATTCCAACACAAGGATTACAAAAACATCAAATTTTCAGGATTCATCAGGACAATTAATGACCAATCACTTCACAACGTGATCTCGCAAGAGTTATGGTTACAGACACATTTGTGTTGGAATAAAGTTTCAACAATTTACTATGATTACTACCAACACAGATGAACTTTCATGATAGTCACTCCCACAGCCTCATACTGGACACTGAGACACAAAGCGATGGCTAGAAATGACTTGAGCTTACCAAGCAAGTTCACAAGTTTCCACGATGCAGCATGCAAGTCAGCACATAGTATCATTAATACCATGCATACTATACATATGGATAAGTACAATATTATATCATATTGACATACTGTACACAGCAAATAGAAAAGATAGACAAATGCACATTGCATAATGTTTTAAAACAAACTATGGATATGCTGATGAAGTTACCTGACATCTAGGTAACGAGAACACAGCTCAGAAAAGATAGTCAAATGCACAAAGCATAAAGTTCTAAAACAAGTATGGATATGCTGATGTTAGGCATTCAGGTAAAGAAATACACAGAAGAACATACTGTCAGTTACTCAAGCAACTGAAAGGGTTTTGGAATTCAAAACCAATCCATTTGCTTGACTAACTGGTGTTCAAAGAAGTATCATGATGGATACATAAAAAAATCTACAGACATGACTGGAGAAGTTTGGAGAAGTTGTTTAAGATCTGTGCTCACCAAAGGTTTTTTCTTCTTGTCGTACACGACTTTCCCGTTGAACAAATACGACACGGCACGGCCTGTCAGGAACAGGTTGATCAGGGCCTGCAAGAAACAGATTCACAGAACATTTTAGACAAGAACCAGTCATGTACTAGACGAGTACTTGAAAGCAAAACCGTTTAAGAGTTATCAACCCAGGATTATTAAGGTGTGCAGAATTTGTTTTTGCCTAGAACTACTGTAAAGTGGAACTTGCTGCCACCAAGAGCAGTTGGGCATCACCACCAGAAAGCTTTAAACAACGTGTACAGTTAAATGTACAAAGATTGTGTGTGACAGATCATTCAGTGTAATATGATGCTGCCATGCCACATGCCTGTCATGCTGGTGTGTTAACATCGAAGGGCATCCAAAATTATACAGGCTGTACAGAATACAGATAGACTGACCTATTGAAATCATTTTGACACAACAGTACTTACTGTGGTGCAGGCCTCCGCTGCTGTCAGAATGGTTGGAGTTTTGTGTTCATCCATGTCTGCTACAAGCCTGTAACAGAACATTCAAATTCATCAATTGAATAAAGGAGTGTATGAAGTGAACAAGAGTTCATTTCCTTGGTTCTTCTCAACTACAAATTCAACTCGACAGGATAGAATGTGAACCCTACTACTGAATGTCACTTTACATCTTGTATGTAAATTCTGGGCATACAGCTTAATGACTTAGATACATGTAGAGTGTGCTAGACAGTTTGTGACAATGGTTCATAGTGTATCTGTGAATAGTTTCATAAGGTTGGTAAGGCACTGAGTAAAGAGATTCTTTTTACACAATGCAATGTGAACCAGTCAGAATTTCCCAGAGGAAGGTGACAGACGGTCATCGAAACATTGGCTGAATAAAAGACTTGGTTGTGTAAAAAGAGTCTCTTTACTCAGTTCATAGTGTAGGCACTTAATCATTATGTCTCTGCACTATGTCTCTATTGTTTATGAAAGAAAGGTCCTTACTTGGGGAAAGTCCTTGATAACATTGCACTGTAGACCATCAGGATACCGCCTGGAGAGAAGTCTCCCTGGAACTATAGGCAGAGAAAACCCAGGATTAGTACTAGACTAAGTGTAATGTACATGTACCACTTTAAAATCTAATGTTTGTGATGGTTTTATTTTCACATTTCACAGTTTCATTAAGTTTTATTTTACTTTCATGCCTAAAAGTCTGGTTATAAAAGTCTACAAGACTTTGCTTTTTCCCACCTGGTCCAGATTCCTCCTTAGAAACTTCAAGAGGGCTTCAAAGTCAGTAAACTCGTATATAAGTATCTGTGAAGGGATGAAAGGAATCAAAAAGTTATTAATTATACATGTGCAGCTGATATAGACAATTTTGTACAGTCCACATTTCTGGCCAGCAACCTAAAATCTGTGAAAAAAAAGGTCTAGATTTAAGGCAAAAGTATAGACTTTTCTACGCAATTTAGACAATTTGTATTCACTATCTGATTTGGTATTCTGAATGATACTTTTAAGCTTAAAAGCTAATCAATAGCGTAGTACTAACAGTAAAGTGTTGCCTGTATTGGCATAAACCTTTTGAAATTGTGAGTACAATTGTCATAAATTGCAATTATATTGAATTTCACAGGAAAAAATTGTCCTTACCTGTTTACTTGTTAACAGAAATAAATTAAAGTTTTGTATTAATGCTATGTCTACCAATGTAATCCAACACTACAGGCAACAGTTAAACAGCACCTGTTACCATGGTGACATACATCTGGTCCAGGTCATTGACCTTATATGTGTTTGGAGATAAAGAGGAAGAAGAAAAACATTGTCCTCACCTTCTCAGTGTAGTTGTCAAATCTCAGCTCAGGGGAAGGCGAGATGCACATTTTCTCGCCGACGATCGTGACTGCCGCGTACTTTCCCTCGCCTGCCTTCCACAGGATGTCTGCCAGCGCGTGTATTAATGCATCCTCACGCTGGTCCTCGAAAAACCCAATGTTGAATCTCTCCACCAACCTGATGGAGGGAAAATTAAAAATTAGTTTCTTCAATCAGGCACATCCTGACTACATAATGCTTATAGTAGCCCTTCCACTGCCCCAGTCCTCAAGGAACCCCATGTTAAATTTTCCACCAACCTGAGGAATGAAACTTTCTGAATTTCTTCTATTTACTCAGACGGAAATGAGTACTTAGACTTGGATAGAGGGGGTTCAGATAGGCAGAAATATATAACACTTGTGTCTAAGGCTTGTACTTTACAATTGCCTTATATGTGCCTTGTGACACCTTGTATTGTATCTTTATTGTTTTGTCATCAGCCACTCCAAAATAGCCTTATAATAGCCTTCAGTTAATTGGGTATCTGCATCTGTATTAGTAGAGCTGGTATATAACTGCTATATAACTGTCCTTTTGTCCTTTTTCATACACTCACACATAAAAATTATATCTATATCAAAGTTAGTGGTAACAGAACAGCAGGTCAGCACCAAGGACAGGTACCATTGCATCCACACTAAGTCTTGTAACCGTTACTTTCTTATATATACTTGTCTGGACTTGGGGACTCAATATTTTTCTGTTTTAAAGACTTAAATTTGATAACTTAGATGTCAATGACTCACAGGTTGCTTGAATTTCCCTTCTCCTCCAAAAGACAGTCATCCTTGTAGAGTAGATGTTTGAGTATGTAGGCCTGAACACACATGGTCATGCCTCTGGAACCATGGCTGGGGGGGGGGGGGCAACAATAGATAAACATACGTGTACAATGTTATGCTGTAAACATACATGACTTTTGTACACTGTACAGTAGATGTTTAAGTATGTAAGGCCTGAACACACATGGTCATGCCCCTGGAACCAAGCTGAAGAAACGAAATAGAAATGAGATGAGTTAAACTTAAGGAAAAAAATGTACTAACAATGCAATAGGCAAAAGATCCCAACCATGATTTGTAATAACTGAAAGAAAGTCATCACGCTTCCGACTTCGGGATAGTCAGCGATTGCATCGCACATCTGACGAAGGTTGATGAGATCAACCGAAAATTTATGGTGAGTTCTTTCCTTGTGTTGGAACAAGCTTAAACTCTATAACTTTTAAACTTTATAACTCTATAACTAAAAGGTTTTGGGTTATTCAATGTTTGATAAAACATGTGCTCATTGTTTCACAACAATAATAACAGATTATTCTTTGTACGGTGTAGTTTACAAAAAAAGGCCCATAGGTCCAGTATAGGCAATGTTTTGTGTTATTTTTGTAGACCATTCCAAAGAAGCAGGAATTCTCTGTTTTGAGTCTTTAGGTTACCTTCTCCATGAAGAGTCCGTAGGGAAAGTTGGACTTGACGTCTCTGAAGGTGAACCTGGTTCTCTTCCACTCGATGTTGAAGGTGTAGTTTCCCGTTCCAAACAGCAGCTTACGAAGAGCCTGGGGGGGAGGGGGGCATGGGGCAGGAGTTTAGAGTCTTTTTTACTATCAAATTGTACTAACATATTGAGGGAGTGGAGTGGTGTTTGGGACTTATCTGTGCATGTACTTTGTGAAATTTATACACAATAAAGTGGGTGATAGTTAACTCATGTTAGGAGATACTTCTAACTTTGCTACTACACCATAGTAGGTGAGTGGAGTATGTTTTTTCTTGTCTGTTTGTTTGTGTGTGTGTGTGTGTGTGTGTGTGTGTGTGTTTGAGTGTGTCTGTGTGTGTGTGTGCGTGCAT